GATAGAGTGTAGGAATGAATGAATAGAGGAAGGATGGATGGAACCATGGGAGGAAGTGGGAAGAAAAAAGAGAGGGAGAGAGGGAGGGAGGGAAGTAAAGCAGAAGAGGGAAGGGAGGAATGCAGAGAGTATGTGAACAAGGGAGAGATAGAGGGAAGGAATMAATGCATGTAGGACGGAAGAATGGATGGAACCAAGGGAGAAAGTGGGAAGAAAGGAGGGAGGGAAAGCAGAAGTTACGGAACCTGTAGATGAAGGAATATGGAAGGAGAGAGGGAATGGCTACCACGTACCTTTGTCATCACTAAGAAGTTCTTTAGCCAGGTATGTGCACTTAACGTCAGTTATTTCGTCATGRACCGTGTCTGGCTGGTATTCCTCCCCGACACTACAAAACAACAACAAAAACCCTTCATGTACAAACCAACGTGAAACTAAATAAATAGCTTTTGAATGGAAAACTGGGAGATATTTCAACGTTACTAACTGATTGACAATGTGCTCCATGATGACTTGGATTTTGTTCGATAGCCACCCATGACTTGATCTCAAAAGCCCCTCAAGGTTCATGGGAAGTTTTGGGTTATCGACCAAACCTGTAGAATATCAATATGAACGATGAATGCTTTAACCTAATAAATGACTGTACATCATAGTTTTTAGAAATTCCTTTCTCTTGCAGCTTCGCACGGGAAGTCCACAAGGCATGAGTTGATTGTAGCGAGTATCCGATTGTCCACAACTCCAAGGCTCATGAAACTTACCCGTGCCATCACCAAGATGGACGAATACATGCCACGTGACCTCAGAAAACATGTCAACTAATTTAAGCATTGTTGATGATGGGGGGCTATCACAGGTAGACGCTAAACAGTCTGGATCGGACAACCAACGACATAACAACCAACCAAGAACCTTAAAAGATCCATTAAGTAAAAGAGGTTTGAAAATCAATCACTGAATCAATCAATCATTCAATCAATCTATCAATCTATTTATCTAACTATCAATCAATCCATTAATCTATCTATCTATCAATCAATCAATCAACCAAACAACCAATCAATCACTAAATTAATTAGTGATTCAATCAATCAATCAATCAAGTCGATCAATCAATTCCCCAGACAATTCAAAAAGTAAAATGCAACTTTCATCGACATTTTTATCTCTAACCTTGATTCCTGCAGTTGATGAGTCGATATTTTTTCTGTTCAGAGATTCTACAACAACAGGGCAAAATTACATAGCATGACAACGTCAGATTTGTGCGAAACATAAATTGCCCTGATCAATGCCTAGTTTGGGATCCCACAATGCAATTTCCAACTTTGTTCCCAGGCCCTTATCCCTTCGCTGATAAGGGCCTGGGAACGAGGTTGTGCAATAGCCGACTTTAGATATTTTGGTTCAGTGACCATGCACAAAAGAATTGCAGACGAGGCTCCGGGAAAATAAAAGAATAAATCAAGATTATCCATTGATAATTTTATTTTTTTTTATATTGGAAAGAGTTATTTTGAAGTGCACGCTTCAAAATGACCAATCAAAGAGCGTATAATATCGTTTTATTCTTTATTTCCCCGGAGCCTCGTCTGCAATTCTTTTGTGCATGGTCACTGAACCAAAATATCTAAATTCGGCTATTTGATGAAAGTGGAATGAATGGATAAACAATAAATGAGTGGATGGATGGTTGAATGGACAAAAAAAATGAATGGATTAATAATAACGATGGGAAAAAAACGTCCTCGACGTACGAATACGAAAACACATCACGAAAGGGATTGTGGGAGTTTAAGGCTAGGATCCAAGATGGCGGCTAAAAAAAAGAAAGATTTAATAATAAACACAATACCTTGTAAAACAGATATGAACTGGAACATTTCAGAGGGAACTGTATTCAAGTCATCAGCCAGTTGATTCACCAAATCGTGAAGGGCTGAGAATATCAACTCGGCATCTCCTGCAACGATAAATTCGAAAATGTAAATGAAMAAGGCTCGTGCTTATTTTTCACTGCAACATTCCAGGACTTTTCAAATACTTTTTARGCACAAAAAYGCGATTTCAAATATATTTTTTGCTGTTTCAGCGAACGTTTCCAGTGGCGATTTTCAAAAGTAGCCACATTTCAATCCAAAAGCTAAAAAGCAACATGTCAATTGATCAACTTTAAGGAGTTTTCATAGCGATTTTTTCAATTTTCAAGGTCTTTTTAAGCGCCCTTAAAAACGAATTTTCAATTTCAGGACTTTTCAAGGATTTCAAGGAGTAGCACGAACCCTGTTATTACAAAAAAGACTTAAAAAGGTACCATGGTAGATATTAACGACAGTGAAGTCTCCTACACAGCCTAACAGTCTCCTACACAGCCTAACAGTCTCCTACAGTCTCCTACACAGCCTAACGTCTTTTGGGAGGGACAGGAAGCTGCAAAGGAGACAAACGACGGTCCTAACCTCTGTTATTTCCCTGCTTTTTGTTCGTGTTTACACACGGACACCCACAGGGAAGTGAGCTCATCGATGTAAAATTAAAAGACTTGGCTCCTTTAAGGTCGCGTTCACAAAGATGGCGTAGTGATGCCTGCACAAATCTGAGAAAATGACGAATACGTGTATTAGTATAACGTCGTTTGCAGGCAGCTCTTGAGCTCTTGTATTTGGGATAACTAGCCCGTAAGGAATGTCATTTGTGTGCTGCTTCAATAATTCATTTCATCACTAAAGGCTCGTTGTTTAAAGCCTGATTAACGATAAGCGAGGGTTAACTAAAGGTTTCCCAATAAGTTGGTGCAGAAGATATATATACTACATACCTCTCWATGTATGGTTTGAAAGTGATGAACATGCAATTAAGCCAGACAGGAAACTAAAATAGAAATTACAAGTTAAAGAAAATGGTTCATTTGTCCTAACCACCTAGCTCTGTTGGTATATAAGGGAAGACTTAACCAGGGTTTTAGAATATATGAATTGAGATTACTGATACGAGAACTTACTAACCTCGTCTTTACTCAAGGTTTTYGTATTCGATTTGGATTCGAATAACTTCCAGCTGTCTTCTCTACAAAGAAGCGAAAGAACTGACCGATTGGTTCATGTAGTGAAATAAATGGATGGACAAATGAATGGATAAAGAAACGAATGGCTATAGAAACGAAGAAATGAAATGAATGGATGAACAAATCATGAATTGGATGAACAAATGAATGGATAAACAAATGAATGGATGAACAAATGAATGGATGAACAAATGAATGGATGAACAAATGGATGGATGAACAAATGAATGGATGAACAAATGAATGGATAAGAAATTAATGGATGAACAAATGAATGGATAAGAAATGAATGGATGAACAAATGAATGGATGAACAAATGAATGGATGAACAAATCAAAGTAAAAAGGAATGAGAGAATGAGGGAAGGAAGGAAAGGGACAAAAGATTAAAGAATCTCATTACCTGTTAACAAGAGCTATCAGAAAGTTCACTACAGCAACTGACTGTTGTGTTGTCTGGAAAAGGGATGTGATATAACGAGTACACCAAACCAGAAGCAGGKGTCTGGGTACTAGGCGAAGGTATCGATTCCTTRCACCAGCGATGGTGTTCAGCRTGAGGATTGACATCGTCTTGARTCCCAGGATTTCCAAGCACAGATAAATCTATACAAAATAACTTTGTTAAMRGTCCACATRCATCTGTATCACATACGAAAAATCGCGACTTTMTACAAGAGATCATTTGTAAGACAAAGCAAACCTTTGCAAAGGTTTTCAAGAAYACATAGGTCTTTCAAAGACTYTCGTMTACTCTATTACTGMGCTTCAKGAYAACTTATTYAAAGTTKCTTCATKTTCAAAAAACTCAGTCACACCTTACCTCCATACTTCACAATAATTCCAGCAAGACGTGCATCTCGCAGCAGCAAAGTCTGCAAGAAAAACATATCCCACCATTAAATGTTATACTAGTGAAGGCAAACTTTAAGATTAGTCTCTGATGTAGTTTGCTGACTGTTGTCGTTGCTGTTGTTGTTGTTGTTGCTGTTGTTGTTGCTGTTATTGTTGTTGAAGGCAAACTCTAAGATTTGCTGGTGGTGTAGTTACTGTTGTTGTTGTTGCTGTTGTTATTGTTGTTTTTGCTGTAGTTTGTTGTTGTTGTTGTTGTTGTTGCTTTAGTTTGATGATGTTGTTGCTGCTGTTGTTATTGTTGTTGTTGATGCTACGACTATTGTTGTTGTTGTTGTTGCTTTAGTTTGATGATGTTGTTGCTGCTGTTGTTATTGTTATTGTTGTTGTTGTTGTTGATGCTGCGACTGTTGTTTTTTGTTGTTGTTGTTGTTGTTGTTATTGTTGAGATTGAAATATACCTGTAGCACAAGTGACCAATTAGGGAGAGGCTGGTTGATCATCAATTTGAATAAAACATTCAAGGCTTGACGATCGATTAGAACCCCTAGACTGCAATGATATAGAATAAAGAAATGATAAGTACATTATCAATGATTTCTCTACTTATTAATGCTCTAATCTTCTGTTAAACTATTCATCCGTTCAACCAACCATTTATCCACTACATCCCAAAATCAAGGACACAAGGTTGTATGAAATCTGCATACCACAACTGCATATGTTCCCATGACAATTTACCTTCCGTCGTGTGTCTTAAGAACTTCCGGGTGTATCCATGACAACCAGTCAGTTCTGTTGCCACGTCGACATTTCCTTGACTTCTTCTTGGTACACAGGAATTTGCAAAGGTCCTCAAGTGGGCATGTCACGAAAGCCTTTACGAATAAGTAGGAAGTTTTACTTTTAGTTTATTTTGATATGCTATGTTGTAAATTTGGTCAAAACGTCTTTTAAAGATGATTTCAATCAGAAACCCAAGGAAAATAGTATAATTTGCTTACCATTGTGGCCAGTAGGCAAGAACACAAGTTATGAATGCTTGAAATCATCGTTTCATCTTTGCTGTTATCAAACAAGACTTGTAAAGAACTACAACAAGGCCACAAGAACGACAATGTGCACATTAAGATGGCCGTGATGTCCGAACGAAACTGCTTGACTCTGTTATATGACAGTACAGCGTTACCGTAACGCAATGTAAGTAACGATACAGAGTGTTGGACGAGGGTRGTTAAGATGTGCTGGGCTTTCGCTGGAGGGACRAACTTCCAGAGGTCATGCTGAAGAGCTTGGATGTGGAAGTTCCACATTTGGATTGCAAATGAGCAGCGTTCATCCTAGAGATGAAAACAACAGTAAATGAAATGAAAAATGGGATGAATGGATGAAAWATGGATGGGTAACTACGTTCAAACAAATAATCACCGCGGTCATAATTTTTAGTTACTGAATCGATAAAACAGTAGTTTAACAAATGTACAAATGCTCCAGAGAKTTATACCTCAAAGAATGGTCTCTGGTCTGCCCAATTATGGCTTTCGGCATCTTGTAGTATGACAGTTGAGATGATGTGTTTTTGATARTTTATAACTTGATTAGTGAGACTGTCAACAACTTCGCTGTACTGGCGATGAAGCACAGCAAATGGACGCCTAGAAAGCAAAACCATATCCAGTTACATGTTGGTACAATCTTTGCTACCATTGCCAAAGGTGACCTTAAGAGTAGGTATGAAGTACAGTCAACTCTCGCTATAACGGACACCCTCGCGACCGTAATTTAGTGTCCGCAGTAGAGAGTCCGTAGTTACGAGAGCTACTTTCATGATTTTTTTGTATTTTTCGCCGGGGATGAATCAGTATTTTATTGTCCGCAATATCGAGGTGTCCGTTGTAGCGGGGTGTCCGTAAGGCGAAASTTGACTTTATTACTGTCATTAAATACTGTCGTGTTTCAGATTTTTCATATATTGAAAATCAGGTGACTTTAAATTTCATTCGCTTTTAATAGGCAGTGGCTAACTCGAAAGCTAAGCTCCTTTAGCCACTGCACACTTTCTCAAATAACACTCAAATAACAAACATGTAATTCCCCATAATTATCTTTAATCGATTAATAATATTCCTTGTWAAATAAGTATATATGTGTGTAAAAATAAAAATTGAATTGAATTCACAATCTGTTTCATCAGTCGGTTTTAAGATCGAGTCTTACTTAAATCTCCATTCATAGAGCATAAAGATGAATAAAGAGTAAGTTTCTGCTTATATTACGATGTATTACTATTTTCAAACATAACGAAAATCTTGCAAGGGATGCGGGTTGACCACAGTTGTAATACAGATTTCGAAACTTCAATACAATGGTAAATAACTACCTTGGTTCTGTTCCCAAAACTTCATCATATTGAGCTAAACGATTCCTGACAAACACAGCACTGCTCAATAAAATATACAGGGTTTGCGTGCTGCATTTCTTGGGGAAATCTTCAATAATCTGCAAGAAAAATGGAAAAGGATATGAAATTGTGGGAAAGGATTTGGAATAAAAAAGGTCAGTGTATCAAAGCGAGAAATTGAAGCTTGTTTATGAGAGACTAAAGTAGATTAATGTCAAAACTTAATAATAAGATACTAAGCCAGATATTACGACATTTTGGTATTGTGTAGATTAGCATTGCTAGCAGTAGATACACTATTGGAAATTATTAAATATCAATGATTATTAAACATTGTTTCGCACTATTATTTAATAAATCAGTCAGTTGAAAATGACAAGGACTTTAACATTGCTGACAAGAGGATGCAGCTTTGGTTTTAATGCATAACAATCTAGATTGTTATTGATATTGCAGCTTTGGTTTTAATGCATAACAATCTAGATTGTTATTGATATTGCACAATCTAGATTAGATTTAGAATTTGAATTTGAAATAAAATATAGTTTTATTACCTTCATTATACTGGAGAAGTAATTCTTCAAACACGAGTCCAAGGTGTCAACAAAAGATGACCTCACTACTTGAAAGAGTTTGGTTCCTTCACTACTGGCCAGTGGAAGAACTTCGTCAGCTCTTGCCATTATAACTGAACAGCTCTACAAAGGAATATTTCATGTTTAAAATATCCCAAACAATTTGATTTTAATAACAGCAGAAATATAGGTTCTGTAATTTAAAACATTGTACTTACTTTTGCAATGCACTTTGGATAATCTTCTGGRCCACCAACAAGCTCATCTACAATAAATGAATAAATGGATGGATGAACAGATGGAATGGATGAATAGGAGAATTAACGATTAACAAAGTGAGGCCTGACGCTATAAACTTAATGAATAGGTGAATAAATGAATAGATGAACAGATGGGATGGATGGATGGGACAGATGGATGAGAAACAAAGGATGAAGGGACATCTGAATAAATAGATTAAAATGAACAAATGAATGAATGAGTGAACAGATGGACAGACAGACAGATGGACAGTGGCAATGTTTATTCACTTAGTTTCAGTACCAACTGAAAGCAACTACCTTTGAGTTTGATGACTTGTAAAGCATGGTTGCTGGCGTAGATCTTAGTCTGTTCCTCTAAAGCAGAATCACTGCCCAGTTTTATTGTCTCACTGACTGCAGATGATATTCTTGAGATGACGTGCTTGAACTCCTCTCGCCAGGCCCAAGGAGATGAWATACTGTGAGCCGATGCATGAGGAGTTGGGAAATCACATTGGCTAACACCTGAAATCAATTCCAAAAAATATAAAACTCTTGTAACAATAAAGCAAATGCGGCCAGATACTGCTGTTTTTTAGCCCTGATGATGCTGTAGAACAGCTAAAGCTCGACTCCAAAAAAGTGTATTTACTATCTAACAGCAGTATATGACTGCATTTGGTATATTATTAGTCTCATACTAACATGCTGCTAAAGGATAACTTCTCAAGATTAATAAAACTCTTGTCATCTGAATTTCTTAAAGGTAGCATTTGGACACCTTGAATAACTTTCATTTATTAATCGTGGCTTTAGAACATCTACTAACTACGCTTTGTACAGTAATCCAACTGATAAGGGTTCTCAAAATTTCAGTTTTAAATAAAATATGATTTTTTTTCTTTTTCATGTTCCAAAAACATTTGCAACAGCACATGAAGCATTATTTACTTACTAAATGGTGCCCCTGTCCAGCCTTGTAGAACAGGAAGATCTTTGCTTGATTTGTGGATCAGTTTTGGTAACTGTGTTCTTCCAGTACTGCTATTTGGGYTAATAGTTGGCTTCAGAACATTGTGTGTAATACCTGGAACGAAAGAAAGTCCATCAGTAATTGACTAAAAAATAATAATGAATTATTGAAAAATTTATAGTAAGAAATCTTAAATGATTCACCATTGCTGTTTTGTTCAAGAACTTTGACCACTGTCATCTCAAGACTCACGGTTGCTAGGAAACATAACTTGTAAACAATCAAGTCATCRCCATGGATACTCATACTTGAYGTGCTTCTGCTAGATCCACGCCTTCAAAATGAATAAGAGAATGGTAAAATACATCTAAACTATAAAAGAAAATTAATATAGTATCTTTTGTTTGAAATGTACACAGCAGCCATCTTGGTTGAACTTCAACAAAGGATTTCTCATAAGTATTTATTGTCCATTCAACAAACATGGCCGCCAGTATTTTGTGTTTTAAATCTCATGGGAATGATTAAAAWTRAGCAAYACATGTAGCTTTATCATGAATTTCTCCATGGACAACATTCTGTGGAGGCCTTACAAGTATATGTGGCCACAAAGAATGAAAACAAAAGTACAAGAAGAACAGCTTGTCTGATCAAAATGTTTGTTGAGTAAAAGAATTGCAAGTACCTTTCTGCTATCTTTCTCTTCTCCTCTCTGTATGCTTGCAAAACTGCTCTCAACTCTAACATGTACTTTTCCAAGTAGATATCATCAATCTCTTTGAATGACATAGCACAGCCAGGGAAATTCCCSTCCTCTAGAAGYCTCATRTCTTCACAAATCATAATCTCAAYAGCAYGGCTTAGTTTAGCAAGTGTAATGGCATTGGAAGGAGCGTCTTTGTACTGACACATGACGCCTGTYTCAAGATGAGAAATCAAATCTGGTGAAATGATATACTTCTCCATCATTCGATGCCGGAACTGAATATACCCCTGCCAGACATCTTTAATAGGAAATAAAAACTGCAAACTTTGGATTAAATCACGTCTGTCTCTATGGCTYTTCTCAYAGCGTCTCTCAGATGTCTCAAGAGGTATGTTACTCATTGCTTGCCAGAGACCAACTTTAACCTTTAGGCGGATTTTGTTCCATAGYAACTGTGTCTCCTCCTCATCAACTATATCATCCTCCTCACCATCRTTATTTTCAGGGGGTTGGTCATTAKTGGTTGTCAGGGGGAGAGCATAGGGTAGTATCATGCCTTGAGAGGAGGCAAAGTTGACAAGTTCRTGAAAGATGGTTTCCTCTAGACCAGGGTTTCTTTCAAGGGCTTGTATCTGTTAGAATTGCAAATGTTTAAATAAGTACATATGATAAAGCTATTGAGCATATGAAAAACGAGCAGAAGACCGGGAATGAGCACCTTAAATGGTCCATATACACAATAAACTATGAATTTATATAAATTAACAATAAAAAAATGGTCTCATGTGGATTCATCTTGATTGCGTTCTGGTTCATTGATACTGACATTAATTGTCTCTAAATATCCGCTATTTCTTACTATTTAGTTTGGTTTTATTCCATGATTTTCTTGTGTTTACTCTAGAGCGGATTTCGTATAAGTGGGAAACAGACAGTACTGTACTGTGACCGTAATCGTACTGCAACCAAATTCTAGTGCCTCATTGGTTCACAAAAATTGTGCAGGCCAGSTCCAGTAACTCTGTGATAACCTTGCGAATTGACTCTAACTGTATACCTACCACATTGTTCAAGAAGCAGTTTAATACCATTGGTTCTGACTTGCAGATGTGGTCTTGAATTTCAAATGTTTTCAGCAGTTCCATAGCACTCTTTGTTTCCTCCAGAGATGTTAGATCTTCATTTGGGTTCAGAGACTCATTACATAATGTTTCAAGTTCTGCCCAGCTTTCCTGGAGTCTATATTTAGTAAGAATGACACTTATTGTACTACAAAACAGTGTTGAAGGAACGCATGGAACATAAAAGTGATAGCTAAAGCGAAAAGACAAATGAAGAAATGCAAAACAACTTCAAGTAATAAAAGTTATAATATTGTATGTAATAAAATTTATAAATTTATAAATAAAGTTTATTTGTATGTTGTATTAAACAGCCCTGACAAAATGTTTACTAGTACCCACCCCTCCCCCATACACACACCCCATAAATTATTATAATCTTTTAGCATTTCGTAAAAAGACTATCTTAAAGAGATATCTTCTAYAAAGAGCTTATTACGCCTTGCTACTAATGCATATTCTTGAAAAAGAAAAACGAAAAGGCCTTTGTAGTGCCCTCATGCACAAATGTGATGGGCTTCAGGTTAATTTTTTAATGGCAATGTACAATATATAACCTAACCCATAGGCGATTAAGTATTTTATCAGAATTCAAATGAATATTTAATAAACATTTGGTTTGGTCTTGATAACTAACCTTAAAGAATTCGTCTCCAGTTGAGAATCTATTTCCTCAATGGCGCTTTTCATSACATCTGGGTCGGCAACCATTCGACGCAACCCGCTCACCAAAAGCGATAAATGCGAGTAGCAGTCGTCCTCTTCCATATTYTGTCGCTTTTTCAAAACGAGTTTTCATAGAATTTTCAATTTTTGTCTTTAACTAAGTTTGATYATTTGTTTTGATAAAAATTTAGCGAAAAATTTTCCTTATTTTGTCTTCTTCGATCACTTGCCGCATTTTGTATTTACAAAAAGACAGTCCGTGGTGAGCTGGGTTCTACAAATCCATATATGGGCCTGATAACCTTATTGGGATAGCGGCAGGTGTGAGGAAAACACAGGGAATCCAATAACAAGTTGAAGAGGAAGAAAAAGAAAAGAAGAAGAAATAGAAA